TTTGTCTGCAATTCAGGAATAGGCCTCTCCTCTCACCAGTCACCAACTCTGTTGTACCTTGATCTTGGACTTCTTAGCCTCCAGGCTTGTGAGAAATAAAGTCTATTATTTAAACCACCAGTCTTTTATTTAGAAGCATGAGTTGACTAAGACAGGTGCAATTCATTAGGGAAAGGATAATCTATCAAAAATGGTGGACAGCCACATGCAAAAAAAGTGAACAATTTTCACCTCATACCACATATGAAAAATAACTCAAAATGTATTATAGGCCTAAACACAAGAATTAAAACTACAAAGTGTCTAGAAGAAAACATAGGAGAAGAGCTTAGTGATGTTTAGTTTGGCCAAGATACCTTAAATACTATATAAAAATTTTTTAAATTGGACTTCATCAAAAAATGTTCTTATTTCTGTTCAAAAGTCACTTTTATGAAAATGAATGTGAAGTATACTTGCTGGAGCCCTATGGGCATTTAGGTTGTTACAGACGGAGAGAAAATATTTGAAAGCATATCTGATAATGTACTTGATTTTATTTGTACTGTATAAAGGACTCTTACAACTCAAGAAGGCAAACAACCCAGTTTAAAAATGGGCAAAAGATTTTAATGGTCATTTCATCAAAAATGATACTGCAAAAGACAAGCACATGAAAAGATACTCAGTGTTATTAAGGAAATGCAAATTGAAATGCACTAGAATGGGTAAATTTAAAAAGACTGATCATACCAAGTGCTGGGGCAGATATGGAAGAACTGAAACTCTCAGACCCTGTTATTTGGAGTGTAAAATGGTATAACCACTTGTGAAAACAGTCTACAGTTCTTTAAAAGCTCCAGCTATATATACCATATGATCTAGCTGTTCAATTTCTAGATATTTGTTCACCCAAGAGAAATAAAAGTGTATGCCCACTGGAAAACCAGAAACAACCCAAATGTCCATCAAATGAAAGGGTCATCAAAGTGTGATACATCCAAACAAGAACTACTGCTCAGAAATAAAAAGGAAGCACTACTGATACATCCAACAACATGGATGAATCTCAGAATAATTACACTGAGTGAAAGGAGTGATACTAAAATATATATATGATTCTTTTTATATACAATTTTTCAAAATGCAAACTGATCTTTAGTGATGGAAAGCAGATGAATGTTTGCCTGGAAACAAAGAGCTGAGGAGGGTAGGACAGATTACAAAGGATCAGGAGGAAACTTTTGTGGGTAATGGATATGTTCACTGTCTTAATTGTGATGGTCTCTTGATCATAAAAGTTAGTCAAAACTTGTCAAATTTTAAAGTTTAAATATGTGCAGTTTATTTACATCAATTATACCTCAATAAATCTATTAACAAAAAAAGGAACGAGAAAAAAGGGGAGGGAGATGAGGAAGAGAAAAAGGAAGAAGAAGGAGGAGGAAGAAGAGGAGGAGGAGAACAGCAACAAGAAGAAGAAATATAATTCTAGTGAAAGGGTAGAAATGGATTGGAGGAGAAATTGACTAAAGCCAGGGGAGAAAGTCAACAGTCCAGGAGAGAGGAGACATGATGACCAAATTGGTGGAAATGTCATCTCCCCATACTGATCAGGACGGTCAGCAGCCTGGTCTAGTTGGCAGCGCATGTGTCCGTTTCCTGACCATTCCACGTGCATCACTCATTCAGTCATTTACTAAGTATTTATTAAGCACCTGCTTTGTGCCAGGTGCTATTTTAAGCACAGGGAAGACGGTGGTAAAGAAGTTAGGAAAGCTTACGGCACCCATGGAGTTTACTTTCTGCTCAAGGGAGGCAAATAATAAAGAAATAATGTAATTCCATCGATTGAGGTGTTACAAAGGAAGTACAATAGGCTAATGTGTAGAGTATAACGGGGGAGGAGAGTGGGTGGTTAATTTACATTTTGACTCAAGGAAGACTGTTCTGAGGAGTAATAATACAGCTGAATTGTGAAAGGCAAAGACCGCAGCAAGTAATAGCTAGGGGTAGAGAATTTTAAGGTACAGAGAACAATTACAAACGCCCTTAGGGGAGAAGGAACTAGACGTATTTCATAAACAGAAGGGGAGCTGGAAGGGGGAGAGTAGTACATGAGGAGGATAGAACATATACGGCCTTAAAAGCCAAATTACAGAATTAGAATTTTATTATTAGTGCAATGGGAAACACTGGGAGGATTTTGAGCAAAGAAGTAGCATGATGTGATATATGTTTTTAAAAGATTCTTTTGCCTGAAATAGAGTCTAGCTGGGGGGAGTGGGGGAAGAACAGAAACAGGGAGACCAGTTAGAAGCTGGGCCATAATAAGAAGACTGGTCAGAAGTGAACTGGGATTTTATTTTGGAGGCCCAGCCATCAAGATTTGTTGGTAAGCAGGTTGTGGGGGATAAGATAAAGGAAAGAGTCAAGAATGACTTCTAAGTTTTTAAGTGTCCAGGTGGAATGTGGTATAGTTTACTGAAATCAGGAAGACTGGAAGAAGGAACATGTTGAGTGTGCAAATTAAAAATTCTTTTCTGGAGAATCCCCCTACACTGTTGGTGGGAATGTAAATTGGTGCAACCAGTATGAAAAACAGCATGGAGATTCCTTAAAAAACTAAAATAGAGTTACTATGTGATCCAGCAACCCCACTCTTGGGTGTATATGGAGAAAATTATAATTTGAAAAGATACTTGCACTCCAATGTTCATAGAAGCTCTATTTACAATAGCCAGGACATGGAAGCAACCTAAATGTCCATCAACAGATGATTGGATAAAGAAGTGTGGTGTACACACACACACACACACACACACACACACATGAATACTATTCAGCCATAAAAAAGAATGAAATAATGCCATTTGCAGCAGCATGGATGGACCTAGAGATTATCATACTAAGTGAAGTTAAGTCAGGCAGAGAGACAAATATCATATGATATCATATGTGGAACATAAAAATATGATACAAGTGAACTTGTTTACAAAACAAAAAGAGACTCAGAGACATAGCAAACATATTTGTGGTTACCAAAGGGGAGAGAGGGTGGAGGGATAAATTGGGAGTCTGGGATGAGCAGATACAAACTACTATATATAAAATAGATAAAACAACAAGGTCCCACTGTATAGCACAGGGAACTACATTCAGTATCTTGTAGTAACCTATAATGAAAAAGAATATATGTATAACTGAATCATTATGCTGTACATCAGAAACTAACACAACATTGTAAATCAACTATACTTCAATAATAAATAAATAAATAAGTAAAGTTCTTTTCTGAACATATATAGTTGACGTGTCTATTCAGTATCCAAATAGAAATGTCAAGTGGGCATTTTAAAAGAGTTGGAGATAAAGATTGAAGTTCATTAGCACGTTTCATTCTTCAGTGTACTTCCCCCTCTTATTTCTGCCAAGAAAAGGATAGACTGGGTCTGTCTTCTTAGTGCAGTACTTCCCTCACAAGATTATACATATATTTAAAGAGGATGACCACACTAGACAGAAAAAAAAAGATAAAGGCCTACAGTTGTTTTTGGTGGGAGGATGTCTAGAATTTGATGAATGGTTAAATACAGATAATAAAGAGAAGGGAGGAACTAAGTGTGGCTCCCAGAGTAGTACCAGTAAGTAAGTTTGGGAACAGAGGGGTGTGGTAATCTGCAGTTTTCTTCCCAAACCTTTACCTTGTGTATAGCCATACCCTTTGCCATGTGTTATTACAGTGCCTCCCACAGTGGGTGGGCATACTTTCTGCCTCTTCGCTGAGAGTTTGATCACGTGGCCAGCTGGGATGTAGCAAATGTTATTCAAACAGAAGCTTGAAAAAGTTGTTGCATAATTGGGCTTCCATTTTTCTGCATCTGCTATCATCATGAGAAGGACATGCCTGGTCTGGCCCACTGCAGAACAAGATACATGTGAAGCAAAGCCAGGACATCCCATTCAGCCCAGTTGAAGCCAGCCCAAACCATCTTGCAGCCAGCCAACCTCCAGACGTTTGAGCAAATCCGGCCAAGTCAACAGAACCACCTAGCCAACCCAGTTGCTCCTCATCACATAAGCAATAAATGCTTAATTGTTGTATGTCACCAAGGTTTTGTGGTTCCGACAGTAGAAAACGGATACAAGGGAGAACAAGATGGGGTAGGAGAGGGGAGGGTTAGTCTGATTTGGGGCGTGATGAATTTGAGATGGCCCGTGGCAGCTGGGTGTGGGACTCGAGAGCCACTGTATTCTGTGAATCATCAGCATGTGTGCATCTCAAGATGTAACTATGGATAAGATTACCCAGGGAGTCTATATAGAATGAGAGAAGGAAATTATGATGACTGAACCCTGAAGAAAACCTATATTTGAAGAAACCATTGAGATTGAGAAGAAATGCTCAGAGATACCTGAGGAGAACCAGAGAGTATAATGGTGTAAAGACTAGGTTTTTAAAAGGCAGTGCTGGTTAGAAATGCCAAATGCCCCACAGAGGCAAAGTTAAGGTATACTTTTGTAATCATTTTGCAAATGAAGAAAGTGTGGTTTGAATGGGGTAATTAAATTATTTGCCATGTATGATCACTCCAACCAGTGAATAGCGGTAAGGGCACTAGAACTTAGATCTGTTGTTTTTTTAACTCAGGGTTTTATCATTTTTATCATATAGTTTTCCTTTCATTAGTACTTCTGATGCCTACGAATGTGTTAGTAAAATGATTGTAAAGTATCTTTTACATATAAAATATTAAGACAAATGATAAAATTTTAATATTTAGAATTAGATGAACATTAAAAAATAGGAAATATATAACCCTGGGCTCCCTCTGATTATGAAATAATTTTGGTACTTTATTACATGTCTCCTGTTACGCATCAATTTTTCTATATCTGATAAATACATATTTTTTATGTGAAGTGAGTTTTTTCCTACACACACTATGGATCAAAACAATGACTTGCCTTTCATGTTGACTATCATGAATTAATAACAATAACGTTGAAATATCTTGCAGAATGAACTACATGAGCTTAAAACACAAATAGAATCTGTCTCTGCAGAAACTAAAGAAACCGAAAGGCGAATTTATCAGCAAGACGCTGCCATACAGAATACCAAGCTTCAGTGTGGAAATCTGGAAAACCAAATCAAATCCTTACATTCAGAAAATGTGAGGCTTAAATTTGACATAGAAGCAGCCCAAGAGGATTTTGAGGAACACATGATAAGATACAATGAATACTATGGAAAAATGAAAACGCATAAAGACAGTTTGAGGGAGGTAGAAAGCAAATGGTCATTCATGACTGAACTCGATGAGAAACGAGAGCTCGTTAAAAAACTAAAGATAATGAAAGAGGAACTTAGGCAGGATCTCCAAAATCCAAAAGGAAACCTTATGAAACAACTACAGGTTTGAAATACCACTTATTAAAACTTTTCCTATTACTCCTTTTGATTTTTACAAGTATACTTACTAAATGACAAATTTATCACTAACAGTAAAATACCCATGGGGGCTATAATGGGATTCACAAATTTTAAAAACTTGCCTAAGTGTATGAGTTACGTAACAACTGTGCCAAATGTGCAAATGCATAAAGGAAACATCTCTAAATCCCCTATGGATTAATTAGAATATATAGTCAAACAAAATCATAGTGAACAATTAATCCATTTGTTGCAAAAAGGGTGACTCATAAAAGTGTTGAAACCCTAGTTTCCAAGCTAATGGCTCTAGACCAATTAAAATCACTTTGGTGTGTTTAATGCTGTTGTGCAAACAATATGAATTAGTAATTGCATCTTAAGCATCTTTCTTTTAATATTCTTTGAAAACATTGGGAGATAAAAACTTAAAATATCTATTATATTTTGCTAAAAACTAAAAAATGTCCTTTACATTATTGCTGGGCAGTTGCTGCTATGACTACCACTTTCCTTTGTGTGTTATTTTCATTTGGTTTTTACTTCTAAATTTTCAAATCTAAGGGTTGCTTTTTTGAATAACCATTCTTTGTTCCTTGTACCTATAGAATTAATATTCTAATCCTATTTATTGAAATTAAATGTGATGTCTAGTTTTCTTAAATTATAGAAACACTGAAAATCTTGGACTTATAGTGACCATTCATCATTTGACTTGTATATTTTAAATTTTATAAACATACAGGAAGACATTGCAAAGCTAAAGGATAAAATTATAACTGTAAAAGAATCCATCATTGAAAAAACTTGTTTTCTTGAGGAAGAAAAAAAGACACATGAAAAGTTAAGAAAAGAAATAGAGGTAAGTCTTAATTATGTGGATTTCAATGTTTTATGGGATCATTTTTTTAAACTTATACTGCATTCATAATTTCCGTAGTTTACTGTCAATTCTCAAAACAGCTGGAGAACAAAAAAGAACTAAAAAAAGCAGTTGATAAGTCCAAACCATTAATAGATAATTATAGATAACTTCCTCATTCAAAAATATTCAAATATATGAATGTATGCAAACAAAGCAAGCACTCACTCCTATTTAAATCTGACCTAGAATTCTTCCAGGTCCCATTCCACCAACTTTGTACCCAATTAATGGCTAGAAAGAAGAGGCAATCCAGCCAAAAAGATGTCACAGATAGACATTATAGACTCTTCAAAGTAGAGTAAAGACAATGGAAGCATTGGTATTTTATGCCTCTCTGACTTCATGTTTGTGATTTTCAGCAGTCCAACTAAAAAACAAACAAACTGATATGTAAAATTAAAGGTGAGACTAAATTTGAGGTACCACTGGCAGACTTACGTAGTTATTGTTTAGATAAGTGGAGAACAAAAATGGAAAAGTGTATACTGTTAAGGGTAAATAAATAATTTTCACCCTTAAAAACTACTTTGGAAAATATAAAGATGCATATTTTCAACTTCCTTATGACTAATTTGACAAAATAAACATCTGAGGAATTTGGAGACAAAACCCTCACCTTTACAAAACACTGTCTTTAAGAAACACCATGATTTTATCTTACATTTTGCTAGCAATCTAAATAAATGGGTATGTTCTTACCCTTCAGCATATCAAGATTTATTATAAAATTGTAAATAGGAAGACAGTATACAAGGGGCATAGAAATAGAAAAAAATGATTAATAAAACAGAAGAAAATAATCCAGAAGTAATCTGTGATGAATGATGCAAACATAATGTTAGCCATATGAAAAAATAAAGACAGTTTTGAAATAAAATTGGATTCCTACCTCTTAACACATACATGTACATACTTCATTGACGCTCATGTAGGGAGGAAGGACATCCTGTTACTGGTGGTCAGAAGTAGGAGTCCTGGCTGCCAGCTAGGCTTCTGCTGATGAGGTCCTGTCCAGGAGGGGCAGGAGCACCTCGTTACCCCTCCCATGTGGCCTCCAGTGACTCCACGTAGATGTGGCCTTGTTACCACTGCGTGGTGGTATTAAGTCCTGGCTCTCCACTAGGCCTCTGACTTTCTCCCAGGGAAAGGGGGAAGGATGCCTTGTTACCACTAAATGGGAGTAGCAGTCTAGCCACCCCAAAAGGGCTCCACTCACACTAGAGGGTGTGATTTGTTACTTCCCAGTGGAATGAAAAGCCCCGGCTCCTCAATTAGCCTTCTCTGACACCATCCCAGCAGAGGATTGGGACACCTTTTTATGTCCCAGCAATGGTCTAGGCTTTGCACTCAGTCTTTGCTGATCTGGGTGGTGGTGGAGCCATCGTGTTTTCCTGTGATGTTTGACTTTAGCAGAGTAATTACTACCTAAATATTTTTGGTCTGCTGAGACAGCCCTTTTCCTGGTTCTTTGGCTGGAGAGCAGGCTTTTCTCGGAGTCTTCTTTGTGTGCACCTGTTGGCATTTCCAGGCTGCTGTCTTCCCCATATCCAGTCTGGGATACGTGAGGGAAAGAGAAAACCCAGGGAGCTCAGCATCACGTCGCTTCTTGGATCCTGAGCTCTCTAGCAAGTCTGCCCTATTCTCTCCACCTTTCAGAAGTTTCCTATGTTAATACTTTATACAATGTCCAGGGTTTTTAGTTGTAGTTAGCACGAGGAATAGGTAAATGAAATACACTTACTTTATTTTGACAGAAGCAGAAATGTAAATGGGTATTTTTAGTGGCAAAGGGTGGTATGAGTGGCCACTAATGTTATATTTAGATGGAATGCCCCTTAGCTTAAGACTTCATTTTTTAATGTCTTCATCATTATATTTCTTGTCCTGAAATTTAGTAAACTCTTTTTAAGCTTTCATAATGGGGTTACTAAAGATTCTTTTAGACTTTTAAATTTTAGTTTTATTAACTCTAATGCATTATAAGTAGTCCTCAATTGTGTCACAATGTTATGGTTGAAAAAATGAATATCTAAGAAATTAGAGATTATCTATAATAAACTATAGAACTGAAGGACAGATACAACCACAGCATTGTCTTGAAAACACTGCATTTTTTTCCCAACAATTTCTCTTGTCGCATGATGAGAATTGATCATTGGTATGAGTAACTTCTTTCACAAAACAACCAGTTTTTTAAAAGGGTATATTCAAATACCAGATTTTTTATTACTTATTTCTTCTTTGAGTCTTTTTTTTTCTTACTTCTGAATGTCTTTAGCCACAGTTCATGGTCATCTTTTGCTTTGATTACAGCATTTTTGTTTAATGTTTAATTCTTTCAAACGTTTTGTGCTTTGCATGCTTATACTAATATTACTTTTTGCATTTTTTGATTAAGAAAAAAATTAAAATGTTTTTTGAATTCTACTTTTTTTTTATCAAATGTATGCTTTTTGTTCTTTAAGGCCAAATCTGAATGAAAGAAATATTTCCAAAAACTTACCCCAGATGTCTTTTTTTCCCTGTCTATTGTCTGTCATTATATACATTCTGGAAGAAAGGAACTAAAGATAAGAGAGAGGAGAATAAAGATAAGTTACGAGTTATTGCTAAAAAAATCGGGGAAGCAAAATACAAAGCATACAAACACAAAGCTTCAAATACAAAGCATTAAGCGACAATCAGTGATTTTTCGTTCAAGGTTTAAAAAAATGTCATTTGCCAAATCCAAGAGCTTTCAGGGAAGGGAAACTAGAGCAGTTAAGAAGTTTTTAGCAAATGATGAGTGCTGCAAGTAATATTTCGTGATAACAGTCATTGTGTAAAGCATTTTAAGATTCACTGATAGTTACCCTTGCCTGAATTTTGTACAATTTGAGCTCCAAACTTGAAAGGATAGGGAAGAATTTAGAGTGCCTGCAAAGCTAGTAGGAGTCAGAAACAAGATATGTTGAACATGATCCAATACAGCATGCAGCTTACACAGTTAACTAATCCATTCATTTATTGAGGTTAGCCACAGAAATGATCACACAACTAGAAAGCCGGTCCTACATGAAAAACCCAAAGAAGCAAAGGTAAAAAGGTGAATTCAAGGCAGGATAAGAATGATTCACATAGCTAGATAGCATCATAACAAATTATTCTATTTTATAAAAAGTACAAGAAGACACGTTCAGTATTATTAAATCTATTGTTGTTTGCCGAGTGCTTGGTATTTTCAGGCACTTTATATAGGCTATCCCATTTAAATTCTCATAAGAACATATTTTACAGAATTTCAGAAAATTTAAATAACTTGTGCAAAGTTATGTAGCTAGTGTTAAGGGAAAGAACAGGACATGAGTTCAGGTCTTTTGGACTCTGCTCCCAATCTTTTCAAAAATTGGTTTTCACTTCTGCGGAAATATATTCTCCTTGAAAAAGATTAAAATATTAGGGGGAAGGCTAAAGTTCCTTTGACCACTGCCTGCCATTGTATTGCTCTTTCTCTTATCATGCTCTTCTCTTATTAATGGCAACCACTATTTGGTGTCTATCTTTCAAGTCTTATATATGTATGTGCTCTTGAGTAACTGTGAGCATGTGAATATACATATGTGTGCATGTACACACACACTTGCACACACATCGGTGCATATAGGAAGATTATATAAATGTACCTTACATATAATTTTGCAAATACTTTACTTACTCAATAACCTGTCTCATAGAAATGTTTTTCATATAAGTACATGTGGGCCAACTTCATTCTTTTTTAACGGTTACAAAATGTCCCACAGTATGGCTATACCTTAATTTATTTACACGTTACAACTGATAGACATTAAGTTATTTCCAGTGGTTCACTATTAAAAGTAGTGTTCTAGTGAACATCATAGCACACACACCTTTGAACCAAGAAGTACCGGTGAGACCATGTTAAACAATGTGACATGTGGGTAATTAGAGTCCCAGAATGAGAGGAGAGAGAGAAAAGGGAACAGAAATATATTTGAAGAAATATTGGCCGAAATTTTTCCAAACTTGACTAAAAAATAACTCATAGATTTAAGAAACTTAGCAAACCTAAAGCAGGACAAATACAGAGAAAAACATACCTAAGGAAGTTATAGTCAAGCTACTGAAAACCAAAGAAAAAAATCTTAAAAGCAGCCAGAAAAAAAGTCACATTAAATATACAAGAACAATGATGAGAATGGCTATTGATTTTTTTAAACATTTAATTTTTTTAGAGCCACTTTAGGTTCATAGCAAAATTAAGCAGAAAGTACAAAGTGTTCCCGCATACTCCCTACCCCCTGGCAGCCTCCTTAACTATCAACATCTCCCACCAGAGTGTACATTTGTTATAACTGATGAATCTACATTGACACTTCATTAGCACCCAGAGTTCCT